TATTTCCAATTATTCCAGGCTATCCTCCTTAAAATTACGTTATAAATAGGAAACAAAATGGAACCTAACAAATACGAAAGTGCGTAAAAATTGTACCAAAGACCAAAGATGAAAAAATATTTCTTTAACGATTGTTTTATAATGTTTGAAATTATTTAGTATTATTTTATAATAATCTAAAACTTGTCATGAAGAATAATTACCTTTTATGTTCTCAACATTGTGGTGTATTTCTTACTACGTCACAACCACAAGTACATTTGCTTTACAAGTTTTGTTTCTGTCGATTTTACTGGTCAGTCTCGAATTTGATTTGGTGAATGAAGGTAGTTGGTGCAATTCTTTGATTACGTGTGTACTTGCAAGCAAACACAAACGGGCTTCACGACAAGACAAATTTGTAATATTACAGAAATTGCACAGAACGTCGGTGAGACGCCATTTATTGTTTATATTTGAGACTGCGTTAAAGATTAACTGTTCAGCTGTTACTCAAAAGAGAAATGGCAATGCATATGATTCAATATGGTGAAAGTGATTGGGCACTTTACTGTGAGCAATAAGTACGGTATTTTATTGAAAAGGATATTGTGATTATACCAAGTTCCCAACATAAATTGTTAACTCGCGTAATGAAACCAACACAGTTTTGGGGATTGGTATAGTATATTACCACTTTGTATAATGTACAGCGTAGCTTGCCCGACTTCGGGTGATCGCCTGCGCGTTTGGACGACAGTCCGTATGTTTTGGTGGGCCTTATTACGTCACCGAGGCGTAGAAGACAAATAAATAGGAAGAAGTGTTGTGAAAGGGTTGGTGAATATACAGCATAACTAAGAAAAATATCCGAAAGATGTATATTTGATTCAATAATTAAGTTGAGGTAATGAGTATTTGAAGATAAAGAAAAATTCGACCCTAAAGTCTTTTCAAATTGTAACGTCAATAGAATGGGCCAATAAAGATGTGACTGAATGGATTTCCAGTCCGTGGCGTATTTGATTTAATAAATAATTGTGAAGTCTCTTAAATCTGTGATTACATGTGTAATTGTGAGCAAAAATGGAGGGGCCTAATAACTACATTAGCTATTATGGGGATAGCTATTTTCAAACAATGCCATTTGTATGTATGTAGTGTTGCAATAAAATAATGATGAAGTAGGAATCGTTATTATTTCATAATTATTACCAATTTTCTCATATTTCTATTTTATATTGCTTCGGAATTTTAGTAGAAAGGATTGTTTATAAGTTGGAATTTGAAAATAAACACTTGGCGGAATATATCCAATATATATATATTTGAAATAAAATATACCACTGAAGTAACAGTCTACAATTCGTCCAATTCAACAATTGTTATATTTCATTTAAAACCGATGAACGGATGAATCGTGTCCAATACGCGTGCAATATTAAGAAACAGTTTGCTTGAAATTGAATGCTTATACGGTTTTCTCATAAAGCTGTAAATATTTCTGTGCATTTGCAAAAACTCTACCTTGTACCACACATGATAAATGAGTATAGTTCGTATACTTAGTAAGTTTTACATGATATATCGAATAAGTAGTTTTCCGAAGGTAACACTTATAAGGTAGTATATTTGTGCGGGATGTTATTGTAATGAAGCTTTGAAAAAATTTAAATTTATCTTTTTATATTATAATACAGATTATTGATCTTCGTATTACGATATTGATATAACTCCTCGTACTACATTTGAATATAAACGGATACACCTACTCCATATATCTATTACGCCATTGGCAATTGGCACTGACGGCATCTAGCCGACAGTTCAATGCTGCACGTTTATTTTAGTACAAGTAGAAATGTTATAAACCGGATTGAATCTCTTTCACAAAGGTCATGTAATAATAATGCACGGCGCATGACCAGCCTCATTTATTAACCATTTTAACGTTTAAAAGTGCTTTTTATAGTGTGAATTTTATTGAATATCAAACATATTACACATAAAGATATATCAAACATTATTTGACTGATGTTTAGTCTGAAACATTTGAATCTTAAGTAACACTTTCAGAAATCAAAAACAATTGGATGTAAGAGCAGTGCTCCCAAACGGTGTGCCGAATCAATGAACCTTTTCCTCAACTAACTATGACTGAGCATGTAAACCATTCACATCTTGCTGCCTATATTTTTCTTCCTACTTCAATTTTTATAACAAAATAATACCTCATATAACATGAATTATTTTCATGCTTAGGCTACTATTGTGCCTGACTCCCAGGAACGATTATTGCACACCCACACGAGCAGATCATCCATAATTGTAACTTGCAAATGAAAATGTAATTAAGATATATATGATATCATTTCAACTTACACCAAGTTTCTGTTGCATAGATATAGTATGTTACTGAAAATCCACCCTCCTCTACCACCATAAGTTTAATCTACTATTTTTCAGAATTTAAAATATGGGTTCACATATGTATATGTTCTATAGTGTTGTTGTCTTTGTTGCTGTTAGTCTAGTTGGGATGCTCGGCGTGATTGGGGTGCTTGTGAAAGAATCCATTTTCCCTGCAAAAACCTCATTTTGCTGGGTTCCGAAATTCTAATAATTTTTTTTATATCGGATTCATGAAAAATAGTTTTTGATATTTGATCTTCTCGACTATTTGTTTGGTCACTGGTCTTCTGTTTATTAATGTATTTAGTAACAAAGTAAACAGCGACTGCAGAGTCATGACGCGTTTATTTCGCAACTTCTATTTATAAAGATGACAGAAATATTGTAATTTCTATAACCAGCAGAAAGGCCGACTGTGAGACGACGGACAACAGTGAACTCGACAACGCTCTAATACAGGAGTCACCAAACTTTTTTGACCGCGGGCCGGGTATGACTCAAATTGTGTCGAAACGGGCCGGATGAATATTTTTGTCAATGCAAGACAATAAATTCACAAATGTTGGGAATATCGCAGAATATCGATCGAGAACATCCTAGGAAAAAAATTAACAAGATTTCTATATCTAGACAACTATCCTGAGTTTAGCTGTTATCAAAACGTTGCTGTCATGAATTAGAATTGTTACAAAATCCGCGGCAAAAAATGTACGCATCACGTCTGCTCGTAAATATATACTACTACGGTCTGCTAAGTACCGTTACGCCTATTTGAAATACCTCTCATAAAAACGACTACCTGCTGTAGCTTGGAATTCTATGAAATTTTGACATAATTGAGATAAAATAAACAAATATTATCTGGTATTTGTATTTTTATTCATTTGCGCATAAATTTCCCAACATTCGACGCTTTTAAAAATTACGCTCCAGTTATACGTAGTGCAAAATAATGATATTGTCTATGGACACCAATAAAATGTATGTGGACGTGTGTATTTCTTTCTTAACTTGATACAATTTTTATGAAGTTCGTACAATCAGAACATCGTTAATTATTACCCACAATGAACCACTGTCAAACTATCATGCTCAACTCCAGCGTTTATTTGCGACGATCTTTCGGCGGTATCAATGACCGTTGCCAGAATAAAAATCTGAAATAGTCTCAATATACCATAGATGTGACGCACAACGAAAGATTAGTGATTTTGATATGTGTTATTTTTCCATATTTAGTTCAGTTCTTATCAAAAAATTAATTCAATCATTATGGAAAAAATTGGCCAGTCGGGCGGTACTAAAATTCCGATATCTCCGTTATTTCTTGACCGTTTATTGTAAACTTGGTATTGTTTCCTATTTTTACTCAGATCTTTCCACTGGAGCAGTTTAGTTTCGTCGAAAGCACGCGCCACGAGTGTACAAGTGTATCGCAGAAAACGTTACGTTATGGTAACATTCAAAGTCGCAAAAACGAAGTTTTGTTTACAACCACAACTGAAAATCTGTCGGGGTGACAAAAGTGTCTGAGCGGACGCGGAAAGGCCAATTATTACGTCACTTTTTTGCATCTTGCCGATTGGCCAATGTTACGAAATAAACAAAGACGACGATGCTCGTGAAAATCTCCCTTGGAAAAAAATTTATCCATTTTTGTGTGTTATTGCGGACCGGATAAAATGACGCCGCGGGCCGGATAGAATGACGTCGCGGGCCGAATTCGGCCCGCGGGCCGTAGTTTGGTGACCCCTGCTCTAATACGACGTTACGGATGTCTTTACTATTTCTATCACAAAGTATACATGCGAATTGGGTTCTGTGGCCATTTGTATTTATTAAATTGCAGATAGAAGTTATGTTACGTCTTACTTTATGATCCAAACGCAAACAAGTTGATTTTCTGCAGTTTCTGCAGCCACACATTATATTTTCCATTACACTTTAACTTCGAGTTTCGCATGTGACACTTGTTGAGATTTAACACGACAATGACAAATGACGTGAATATTTATTTCCATATATCTCAAAGTAATTGAAAATTTGTAATAAAAAGAAATTAATTAAGAAAAAGAATTCAAGAATTAAAAAGATTAATACTATATTAAATAGGTCGTGTGTATAGCTTGTTGGAAACAATACAAGTATGCGATCCTTTATTTTCCTACTGAAATCATTTCGAAACGAATAATTTCATGCAAACAACAAAACATAGTGACAACTTTCTGCTTCCTATAAAAAGGTATGCACTATAAACAAAGTTATACACATTACAATAAAATCAAAACAAAACATACAAAATATTAAACTTGACAATTAAAATTTCAATTTGAAGAGGAATTTGAATATTTCTTCAAAAAATTTTTCACTTATCTGTACATATGTATTTGTTTGAAAAAATATACCAAAACAAATTTATTCATGTTTGTATAGAGATTTAATTTTTTCTTGTTGTTTTTACAAAGTGGTCAAAAAAAAGTTCAAGATTAGAAATAAGAATGAATAATAAGAAGAAAAATCTTTGCTTCATCGAGTCATTGATTATTCTCTTTTGAGTAGTGTGTTTATAAGAAAAAAAATTTAAGTTAAATTGAATAATATTAATTAAAAAATTTAACTAATCAAAATTTGTTGTTCATAAACAGGGGAATTGACAAAACTTATTATTAATTGGACAATCGGTCTATCAACTTCATGTCAAATTCAAGCATTGTACGGTTCGTAGGCTGATTCCACATTGATTTGCATCCTTGTTAAAGGAAGTGGTTTCTCATAGACAACCGTTTCTTGATGAGTATATGAATCCGAGATGTGGGAGCGGTGGTTAGGCTTTGGTGCTGTCAAAATAGATTTGTAACAATATAAGGATCAATGTAAAACACATTTAAAAGATACAATCTCATTATTGTGTTTATGTATTATATTGTTATCCAACTTAATTTATCAATCTAGCTTAATGTTTAAAGTATATTGAAAACTGTTTTCTAAGAAATTTATGCATTGAATATCATATCTTTAATAAACTGTGGGAAATTTTTCAGCATGTTTCATACCTTTATTAGATATGGTTTCGTAGTTGTGGTCTGTTGCAATTGGAGATCTGAAAATGAAAGTAACACAGATCTTGTGTGATGTTAAAAAAAATCACAATCGTTTTATACTTGTAGAAATTTGCTTTACAATTATTTTATATAATATATTTTAATTTGATATGATTAATCATTAAATCATATTGCAACTGATTTGATATTCAAATTTACATCTTAAAATTAGTTGGTACCTGAATGTGCAAACTTACACTTTCAATTTGTTTATCTGTTGTTTTTGTCGGATAATACACATTGTTGCAATAAATAGAAGTAGGAGAGGAATTATGAACCCGATAACAAAACTCAAGGTGTCAAATTCGAACGACGTTTTGTCTAGAATATATGTGAAATAAATGATTAGGTACAAAATAAAAGTAAATCATGTTTTTACAGTGAGGGCTCGTACTGTAGTTCCAGTTCTTCACTGCAAAGTTTTCATTTATGTGAACATTGTTGCGGTTTGTAACTGCTGGAATTCAGGTTGTAAAAATAGCATCGTTGTGCAAGAGTTCAGCTCAACATATACCATAGGGTTAGGCAGTGGTTTTGGTCACGGGGTCGAAAATTTTGCCTACGTAGACTGGCGGGCCATGTAAGTCTGAAATTGCATTTAACGAACAATATTTACACTGTTACAAAAGCAAAAGTAGAAAACAACGAGTTCTCTTGCCAATATTAAATCTAGTCGTAATCTTAACAAATTCCTTGGCTTTTTTTTAGCTTAACATCCAAATTTGGTATTAGTGTGGTTGTGTCTGCATCAGGCGGGACAGATTGAACTACCGAACGAGTTGGATTTTGCCCGCGGGCCGTAGTTTGCTCATGTTGGCCGTAGTTTGCCCGTCTGGTATTCAATAATGCTCTTACTTTTTAAAAAACCAGTGCAAGAACCAATTGCATCAACAGGTGGACTATTGCAATAAATGTCTTGTACGGAAGCCGAGTACTCGTGATTTGTTTCCGGTTCAAACCAATACCTTGATGAAATTGACGATGTTGTTACATTGATCATTTGTTTTGACGAATGCAAGGATCCAATAACAGTAGAGATTAGGTGCAGTTTCTGTTAAAAACACATTATAAATGCATACAAAATCTCTACGTAAGAATATAGCTTCAACTCGCATTTCGGAATGAGACCTGTTAGATAATTCAAATTAATTCAGTGTATATATTTGATCACGGCATAGCCCTATTTACATTATTTATTATAAATTTTATTCCGCAATTAAATATTTTTCATCTTGTTGAAAAATTGATACATACCACAGAATAGGGGCCGGTATTGCTTGTTATATTGTTAGACATCGTCCAGGATATTACACATGTTTGGTTATCTTTGTACTGAGCAAGCAGTACTGGCTCAATCGGCTGGTTTATTTCACCGGTCATGATGGTCTTGATCGCAGAATGGGTGGGATGGCATTCAAGCTTGGTCACACATGCTGTAATCTGAAGAATAATTATCAACAATTTTATCATTTTAATATTTATTCAACGACCATTCATATATCAAGCTCTATATAAAAGAATCCATAAATGACTACGTGGACGAAGATGTTATACTTATCTTCTTAATTAAATCTGAAACCAGAGTAGTCTTGGGTTGTTCAAAATATTTCGCTAAATAAACCAGAAAACAGATTGTTTTAGATTTCAAAACTCATGCACCCTCGACACAAAGAGCATTTTGGTAAAAATTAATTTTGTTAAATGTTAAAATTAAATCAGCAGTTTATAGGAATACCTCAACTTTGGATCTAGCAATGGATGAAAATTCATTAACTTCAAGTGTTTGTTCTCCAGATGTTGGTGAATCTATCCAAATAGTTTTATTTTCCCTTTTCAATACAGCGGACGTTAGATAGATTCTAAACAGAATAAATAAAACTAAATATTATAGAAAGTCGGAAAATGATACTAGAAAAAAACCTAATAAAAGTTGTACATGTACCTGTGAGGAAATCCGACTGCATTTTTATGTGGATTCCATGAGATCAGCAAGCTGGATTTGCAATTATTTTTCAATACTCGATTGATTGACGGGTTTCCAATCACTATTGTAATAAACAGAAATAAAAATTTGGGCATTTGGGAGGATTAAATAAGAAAACCTTCACAACAAAATATATCGCTAGCTTCACATAGAAAATATATGCATTCGGCAGTTTATAGATTTCAGTGAAACAACTTCCGAGGTTACCACGGAAAAAGTACGTATTCTATAAGGCGCTCACAAAATTAGCCTAATTTTTATTAAATCTGTTCGAGCATTAAATTAATTATTTGATTACCATATTTTCTTGATATCGAAATCATAAACATTTCAATGAATTACTTGTACGCACCGTCAAATTCAAATATTTTTCCAACTTTCCATATGTCAATCATTTTGTAGTTGCAACTATAATTTCCTGCGTCGGATATGTCAGAGTTATTTAGATACAATGTTGCCGATCCACTATGTGTTATTTGATACACGCTGCTGTTTCGAGTCATTGATACTCTTGTTGGTCCTTTGAACCATTCAACAACGTAACAGCGAGATTCCGCAATACATTTTTGTTTAGTTTCGTTAATGGTCTGTATTTCCAGTGTCTGATCTCCTAGTGCTTTTGTAAAATAGTTTCAATTTAGAATCACGTCATAATGATGGTTAAATTCAGCTAAACTCTGAAATCAATGCTTAAAGTATGTATGAGATCTTGATACTATTGTATTAACGTTAGTCAAATTTTAAACAAATACAAAAAATGTTTACAACAGACCTGTTTGACAAAAATAATTAAACCGCTCGTGACAACTGCGGTCTACCCATCGATAAGTTTCCATTCCTACTAACATACAATCTTCATTTCCTCCAGCATTGTTCGGTTGATTGAATTTCCTAAAAATTGTAAAGTAACGTCGAACAAATAAACATTTAGTGCAAACGTACATTCCATGCAATAACGTGAAAGACTTTCATTGCGTTTATTCTATAATACGTGGTAACTATATTGATTCGTAATGGATTTACATGAATAGTAAGTAGTTATGTATTGGATGGAACTTTTGCCTTGTGCAAATTTGGGATTTTATTTTTATTTTCTAGGATTTCAATAAGTCAGGTTATTGGTTTGCTTCGAATAAATTTACCAATACCTGATTTTTGTCATTTGAGTATCCATAATCATTTTTTAAGATTTTCCTAGTTTGCTCATATAATTTTAATAACTCAAGCTAAAACCTCACCGGCTCACTACTTTTTAACTAAAATTATAAAATCCGATAACCAGTTTTGATATCCCGTTTATGTATTACATTTCTCTTTCTATTTATCCAACATTCGTATACGAGTATTATTACATATTATTACATATTACTACATATTATAATATCTATAAAAATTTTACATTATCATGTTTTAAAAATTTAATAATTATTGACAGTTCTGTATTATCATATTCTACAATTCGGCAAAAGGAAGTTCAAGTTTTAACTTGTATAAAATAGTAAAAATATACCTTGTAAATATTAAAATATCGAAAAGGCAAAAAAAATGGATTGTGTCAAAATTTTTTTAAAATTGAATTTTAAAATGAATATTTTTATTGACTGAGATTTGAATAAACGTTACCAGACATAAAATTTGATATTCGTTGTGTTTCATTATATCTGTTTTTAATTTAATAATATACATACATGGGAATTTGAAAAAATTAAAAACTAAATAAAACAAAATCTTCGTATTTTTCAGTTGACAATGCATAACTTAAAGCTGTTCTCATTAATTAAATTCTCAGACAGACAACTTATTTTGATGTTAATATTATTACTCAAATTTTTGAATGAATTTATAAACATCAAACTAAGTTTATATTTTGATTTGAAAGTAGACACGTATTTTCTTGGATAAAATTCTTTTTATTTTTCAAAAATATTTAGAAACAAACCAGTTTTGATAACCCGTTTCTCCTATCATTATCACATCAGTGCCATCATGCCATTTCCAATCTCCTTCTTTAGTTATGTCGTTTCCTCCAATAAAGTAAGCATTAGCGTAATCAACCCTGAAATACATCATTATACATATATAATTGATCCAAGAAGAACATATTTCGTGAGTCAACCTTATTTTATTTATTCAATATGATTCAGTGATAAAAAAACAAGCCTTAATCGATTAGTTGGTTTCTGCAAGTCTAACTACTTATCCTTCTTCTATGCTTTTGTGTCTATGGATTCATATGCATATATTGCAGGTAGGATGTATACGTGTAAAATAATATATCTTCTATATCTATCATGTGCAATACCACAAGAAACCACTAAAAAAATTGAAATTAAAGTTGATTTACGGCTTTGTTCGATATTTCAATATTTCTAATTTTTATCGCAATCGTGTATCTGCCGTCGTCATTAGATAACTTAACCCATCAATCTGAGACCATATTGACAGCCTTGAAACAGTGGTCGTTAAGCCGAGCCCGGCTGAAAACTTTCTGTTGAAATTATAGTCAAAACGTTCAATTCTTTTTTTTACTAAATACAAGCTATGGGCTACCGAGTTAGAATACGGAATGATTTCCGTAAGGGCATTGATGAAAGATAAGTATTCTCGCCCAAATTTATTGCCTCAAATAACAATTGCTTCTTTTAATTTGTAGATATTATTACTTCAATACAGCTCAAACATCATGAGATTATTGCATGGCATGATTCATTCAACATCTAAGTCATAGCGTATATATATTACTATATGGAAACATACTCACTTGATCGTTGCATTGATGACATAAGTCATTCTTTGATTATCAACTTTTGCCAAGTATCCTCCCATTGATTTACAGGCGGCTTTTGCTTCTATGTAATTCTTTCTGGTATCGTTGTAAAAAGTCAGTTCATACTGATCTACGCATTTTGTTTGCCATGGAACTGAAAAATCACATTTAATATGTTTTCAACGATTTTTTTTATCTAAATGTCCAAACAAACCAGGAAAATTATTGCAGACATTTTATCTGAGACGTATAGCCAATAGTATCTACTAGACTGACTTCAACCCATTTGATAATTGATGTTAATAAGCAGTAATAAATATAGTATAAGGTTCACTTTAGTTTTCCAATGGGTAACACAAAAATAATGATACTCGAGACCTAAATCTTTAATCCGCTATGAATGAAATTTAATTTAGTGTACTAACCAGTATTTCAAATATTTTTAAAATGAAAAAATAACAAACTCACTTTGTGCCATGCAGCCCATAATAACCATTAATTGTAATGATGTTAAAATTGAAATATTCATTTTAACAGGTAGAAGGTATACGTGTTTAAAATAATATATCTTCTATATCTATCATGTGCAATACAACAAGAAATCACTAAAAAAATTGAAAGAATGGATCAACCAATGTATCTCATATTCAATGAAATCATAATTTCGTTAAATACGTATATTTAGTTATCACATTAAAATTCCTGATGTTAGATTTCAATAAAACATATTGAATAATAGTGACAATTAATAAAATGTTAATTTCCACCATTTAAGCATATTGATTATGGTCAAAACGTTTAATTGGGCTACCGAGTTAGAATACGGATTTTTTGATTTAAGCATATTTACAAACTAGCATCCAAACCATGGAATCAAAGTTGATTTACGGCTTTTTTTCCTACTTATAAGGGGGAGTGCTACGCACAACAAACAGACTGGAATAAATTATTGATTATCGCAGCTTACGTATATGTTTGATTAAAATTCTATGTCAAATGTCCATACAGACCGGTGATAAGTTTAATGTTACAGAGAAAATACTTTATTCATCTCTTGCCTCAAAACATCATTGTACATTGTCTTTTTATGGTGACTGCTTTATACACTTATACTTCATTAACATGGCGCTACTCTTCTTACTATTATATCGATACCAAAATATACAGAAATACAATTATTACATAGACTATTTTTAGGGCTTGTATAGATAGGTGGGGCAGACAGCAACTAACAGCCATAATATTTATCAATGGTTTTAACCTATTTTCCGCCAATTTGAGTCACTTTTCACACTTGTTATAAAAAGTTATTACTGTTTGTTCAAACATGCCAATGAAACCAATTTCCAGAAATGTAAAATCGGCGGCTTACTTTATTTTTATAGCCCTTCTTGAAAGATAATACCATTTTATTTCTATTTAACAACAAAATATAGCACCATTTTATATGTGATGTAATATATCATGACCTGGCTCAATCGCCAAAATACCTTCACGCAATATTAGCGCTAAAATAAACTGCTTTCTACATCATGTTACATTGCATCTGATATTGAGAGAATGATGACTTGTTTCCTAGAATAAACATTCAACACCCACCAGTGTCGGTATTGCATCTTGCAACTGTGACTTGCTCAATGTTTTGATATCCATAACCTACATAATGAATCTTTTGAACCTTCAAGGGTAAATTAGATAGCTATGCATACAATATTTTGATTTGAGTCGAATATTGAAACAATATGATCGATCCATCATTTACATTGAATTAATAGTCCAACAAGGTTGGCAAAAGTCAATTTTCACAGCCTTCAAATCGGCTCTCCAGAAGTATGTGCACCAAGATAGCGCACAACCTGATAACCCTAACCTGGTACACATAATATGTTCAGGTTGTGCGCCATCTAGGTGCACATACTTCGGGAGCACCTTCAATTCAATTCAATTGGCATGTTATTGAGACTAACTGTTGCTAATCGGGTAAATATTCAATTCATAAAAAAAAATCATGCAGCTTGGCAATAAATTGGTTTTGTCAAATCATCCAAAACTTAGGTTCAACCCTATTTTTACAATGATTAAAATTGCTGTTGTTACAGAGATAATACCTCATCATTATGCTTAGAAACAAATGCTGTGAAAACATTTAATTCGCACCCTTTTATTCTATCTAGGCAATCAACAAGTAAAACAAGAAGTCCTTGAAGAAATTTTCGGGATAAATTTGCAGCTTTTATCAAAATATGTAATTGAAAAACACGATTTTTAAAGTCGTTTTAAAAATGTCCCGCATTCACGCATTGATTGAATCACCGACCACTGTATTTTATTTCTACACTTAGCCTTGCTGACATGAGATGGTCAACTGCACTGAAAACCTGATTC